TTGTTTTTTTTGTTAAGTTTAGAATAACGTAAATATATTTTTTTAAAAGTATGGAGATGGGAGAGCCAAAAAGCGTAGTCTCTCTGTCCATGTATGATATCATAAAGTTGCATGTGACTACACAAGCCTAGAAATCATAACCCCTGGGGAACTGAACTGGCACATATTGGAAAACCAAAGGCAGCCACAACTCACTTTTTTTAGGACAAACCAGCCATGTATCCTTGCAGATACTGATAAATAAAAATGGAAATGAGAACACATAACTGCCTGTAGTGTCAATTCTGGGCCTTTAAGCATAAGTGCAATGACTTTAAGTAGATCTTGAAGGTGAGAGGGGTAGATTACCATGCTCACTTTGTCAGAGCTTAAATAGTGCTTCCCCATCACCTGGGTGCTATGAACTGGACTTTCACTAATGAAATGGAAGACAGAATGGTGTTGAGGATTCTGAGACCTCCATGCCAGCAACCAGTGCCATAGGTTGAATATAACTGGAAACTAGTCTTTAGAGTAAACCAAGAGTAGGATTGCTTTGGCTGCTTGAGAGACTGGTCAGTGGAGCTGGGGTATGGGAAAGAACAAGCCAAGTAAACAGTATCCTTGTTAGCAAATAAAAATAGGATCATGCACGACAGTTTGAAAGAGACCTTAGAGGTCATCTAGTCTAATGTGCTCCCTTTACAGATGTCATATCTGAGTCAACAGAAGTTAAGTCAATCACTCAAGGATACATGGATAGTATGTGGCAAGAGTCGGCAGATTCTACCCCCAGTCCTCGGCTCCAAGTTCAACATTATTTCATTACTGTGCAACCTCTCCAGGTAACCACACCAATCATTCAGACCAGAAAACTGCTTTCAGTTCAGAGAAGCCTAGAGGACACTGGGCAAGCATTTGGGAATAAACCTTAAGGGCTGCCAAAAGTCGTCACTAGCACCAAGCCCTTCCATTCCTCGGAAGAGATATAGCATCTCAGACAACCAAGAAGAGATCTGAGTGGTTCACTGGCTTAGCTGTGAGGGCTAGAGGTTATGAAACCCATGCCCCTTTCACAAAGACCATTGGGCATAAGGGAGTAACCACATACTTCTCAAAACAATGAGTAAATAAGAGGAAAGGGGGTGAGAGAGACCTCAGTTGGAATTGGTCCAATTTAAGAACTCCCCACCAGGATAGGAAGTGGGTAGATCATAGGTAGGATAATAGATTTAGAGGTAAGAGGTCTCTTTGAGGTAATCTAGTCTAACTCACTCAATTTTCATGTAAGGAAACCGAGGCTCTAAAGCCATTAAGTGAATACCCAAGGTCAGATTGGTAGAAACTTGCAGATTCAGGATATGATACCAGATCCTTGGACATCAAAATCTATGTTTCTTCCAAATGCCTACTTAGGAATTTCCAGACATCCCTTGAGCACCTGAAGTAGAATATTAACCAGGAAAAGTTAGGAAATCCTGGCCTTGATCCTAGAAAATTAACTTAATTTGGTCTTGTCTTATACAATGTCTGTGTGATCTGCCACAGTACCAAAGAGAAAAAAGCATTTTAAAAAGTTTTTATGCTACAGACTAAAAGAGTTTCAAACTACTTTTATATGTTTGTGTGTGTGTGAGCCTACTATTAAAATGAATATTTACTAGTGACTTAGGAATTAATTGGTTTAAAATCTATTATTCCTTTCTCTATCTAGTAAGCTGCCAAGTACAGAGAGTCTTGGGGAAAAACTATGAGGCTTCTGACTGAATAGATGAGGGGTAAAGGGAGAGGAAAGATGAAAGTTAGCAGAACAATGACTTCAGAATATCTAAAGAACTGGAATTAGAGTCAGAGATTCTTTAAATTTGGCATTTAAAAGATTATAAAATTGGATTTAAAAATTAAGTCAACTCATCTTCCTATGGTCATCTTCTGATGGTTGGCAAATCTGAAATGTTTTAGCTGCTATATTTATAAATTATGTATGTCTGTATGAATAATTTCTTTACTAAGGGATGTCTAAAGTCATTATGTTTTTTAAACTTGTTTGTATGAAAGTAATATTTAAATTCTGATTTCTTTTATAAGCACAACTGTATTAAATGTTAATTTAGTGATTTGAAAATTTTAATGGAATAGAATTGTATCTGGAATAACTGAGTACATTCACAAGACACTCTTCTGCCTACCTTTCTGGTATAGCCTGTAATGACACTGCCTTACTTTTTGATTATATTGATTTGTTCTACTGATGTTTGATTTCTTTATAATGATGTAGAGGATGTGTCATCAAAGACAAACATTATCAAAAAAGAAGATAAGTTTGTCACATGGTAGGAAACTACACTTCCACCAAAGTGACCCATCTATCTATTCCCTCAACATTCTATGCTTTGTTCACTTCCTTCCCTCTACCTGGAATATTATCCTCTTCCCTCTCTGCCTATTCTTCCTTTAATTAATTCGTGATTTAATGCTTGAATCAAGTGCTAGTTTGTGGCCTTTCCTGACTGATCAAGAATATCCTTCCTCTTGGGCCTCAGCATTTTACAATTCTCAAATGCACTTATCAGATAATACTCTTTAGTATAGTTATCTGTATTTCTGTCTTACTTCCTTCCCCCCACACCAGCTCTTGCTCCAACAGGGGAAGGACCATGTCTTTATCCAAACTAATTTTTTTAATCTCCCCTGCACTGTGCTGTGTATACAATAAGTATTTAATTAAAATTTATTTAATCCAATTCAACATTTATTCAGCAACTAAAGTACAAGACATTGCTAAGGACCCAATGAATTCTGATTTAACAGAAACAGATATGATTATGCAATTCTCTTAGGATACATTAAGATGTCCCACAATCCTAAATGTGAAAGAGAGCATCTGTACCATATTTGAGATATAATCATAAGAACAAATTTTCAAGAGCTATCTCCTTTCAAGTATATAAATGGCTAAAGAACAAGAGAAGTATAATGGTACAGTTTTGTTTAATTATACTTTGATCAACTAAAGGCAATGCATTCTCTATGGTTGTGGTGATACACATGATAACTGACTGAATGTCAACTTAGTAATGACATGAAATAAATGGGATAAAAATGCATACTTGATCCAGGTTCATACTGGATACATATTCTCTGTAACCATCCAAGGTGTTCAGAAAGTGGAGGGAGATTCATGAAGAGGGGCCAAGAAAGCATCACCTCCAAGAGAGGAGGTGAAAAAGAATTCCCTCCCCATCTTGCTTTTCACAGACTTTTCATATCTTACTCCAAGTTGAACACTTAAGTTTCTCTAAAAAACATAAGGTTTTCTTTTCACAACACATTCCCAGAATATATAAAAGTTTTTAAAATAATGTTTTCTGCATCCGAACATTAGCAAATCTAGAATACAGTTGTGTTTCAGTCCCTTGACCACCAGATAACTGTATCTAGAATATGAAATTTTTTAAAAAATTAAGTTTTATGGATATCTTTTATTTTTATATCACCTAGATTTCCCTCTGTATCTCTCCCCTTCTCTCTTCCTTGAGATCCACCTCTTTTAACAAAGAATGTGTTTTCTTTAAAATAGGAAGAAAAAAATCCAGTAAAGTTCATAGTACATCAAAAAATAATCCGATGCACTATACAATATTCCATATTTCTAGTTCCTCCCTCCCATCTCAACAAAAAAGCAATAAATGGTGCTTTCTCATATCACTTCTTGCACAGCAAAAGAAGTTTTAAAGGCTAGAAAGGACCAGCTACTTCCATTTGCCTCTCCCTTTCACAGATGAGGAAACTGAGGCACAGAGACTTGCCCCTGTCTCAGAGCTAATTGTGGCAGAGCTTGGAGTAAAAAAAGTCAGGTCTTCAGACTTTCAGTCCATATAACACATTCTGCAGTGACTTTTTGAGAGGGGGAACTATTATCAACATTTGAAAGTGTTAAGGTGAATTAGTAAAGACTTGGCCCCCAGTTGTTGATCTGCATTCTCTAGACCCGTTCTAGGACTAGGACCACATTGTCCAACTAAACTTATTTCTCGGGGCCTATTTCCAGACCTCAAGTATTATACATTTATCTTCAAGGAGGAAGAATAACACTGGCTACAACTGTGGTTTCTTGCTAATATACCAGTAGCTCAAATTTAAATAGCTGCTTGCCTAAGCAGTAGGAAACAGCACAAAGGGGCCGAGCATCTGTGATTTCAGGCAGTCATGGCCTGGTCCAAGATGAAGATGTTCCAAATCCTTCACTTAAATATAAACCATACTCACTGAAACTGGCACACCATTCTACCTCTGTTTTTCCATGCTACTGAATTTACAAAAGTCTGTGATTGAAGTTTTGAAGAACTGATCTTCCATTAAAAATGAGAGAGGCTTTCTGGTCAGTTCTTGGAGGTAAGGGTGCCATTTTTACTGAGCTTCCATGTTAACCCCCATGTTCATCAGCAAAAAGTTAACAACAAAGCAAGCAGAAAAGCTGAGGGGTTGGGGGCAGCTAGATGGCACAGTGAATACAGCACCAACCCTGGATTCAGGAAGTCCTGAGTTCAAATCTGGCCTCAGAAACTTGACACTTACTAGCTGTGTGACCCTGGGCAAGTCACTTCACCCCACTGCCTCACAAAAAAAAGAAAGAAAAGCTGGGGAGCAAAGGGCAAGGGAATCTTTTACCTTCAAATTCTTACAACCGAAAGTAAGAGATAAGGATAAAACAAAACAATTAATTCAGCTTCTTACTTCAGAAGGATAAAAACTAAATCAAAACAGAAGCACATAAAGGGAACCAAGAGGGATAAGGGCTGTGGAGCACTGAACTGCTTGGTGCTATTGATGGATCCTGAAAAGTCAAAGGTGGAATAGCTGGTGTTTTTGAAGAAAGGTGAGCAGAAGCTCAGAGGAAGAATAAACTAGGGAATCAATAATTTTATGCAATGCAAAAACAACTTTAAAAACAAAATACTTTTCCAAGCCAAATAACTAATGAGAATAATTTATTTCTTTTAAAAAAACCATAGGCTTACCTTTACATGATGAATAAGGCATTCCTCCACATTTACTTTGTAAGTCTCTATACCCAGCTCCTTAGATAATCGTAGGATTCTATTTTGAGTAGGTCCTACATAAGCTCCACCAATATCAACATAATCAACAAAGTCATTCTAAAAAAAAAAAAAAGATGGATTGAAAGATTTTCATTAAACACTTTTTAAAAAGAATAATTTCAGTCATTACAAAGGATTTCCCCATTGATTGTGTGCCCTCACCATGAAGTAATGGACCTGGAGTCAGGAAGACCTGGGTTCAAATGCTCTCTCTCATACTCAGATATGTGACTACTGGTAAGCCACTTATTCTCTAAACCTCCATTATCTCATCCATAAAATGAGGATAATAATACTTGTAATATTGTTGGGGAAATAATATTGGCCAATAGGAATAGCATGAATAAAGGCAAGAAACTTCAGGTCACAGTAAGTGGTCATAGAACAGTACAGTTTGGCTGCAACATGGAGTGTCTGAAGGAAGAGATAAGCTCGGAAATAGTAGCTGGGGCTTAGTTGTGGGGAAGCTCGAATGTTGGGCTAAAGAGTTTACATTTTATTCAGTAGGCAATGGAAGTCATTGAAAGTATTTTAGAAAAGGGGTAACATGATCAGAAATGTGCTTTTAAATGATTAATCTGGCTGCATACTGCAGGATGTGACTCAATCAATCAACCAACAAGCATTTAATAAGCACCTACTATGTATCAAGAAAACAACATGGACAGTATGGTCCATGGAGTAACAAAGTGTCAGACATGACTAAACAACTGAACAACAATGTGCTAGGAATCAAGAGACAAAAAAATCCTAGCGGATAAAAGCTGACCTCGGAGAAAGATGTGGATTCAAGTCCTCCTTCAGACACTTGATCAGCCTGTTGTTGTTGTTATTTGTCCTTCATCCTCAAAGAGGTCCAACGGCCAACTATGTGACCCTGCCCTCGGCAAATCTCTAAGACTATAAGTCACAGAGAAAGTGTCAATTTGCATTGGTAGTTTTCTCATTTGAAAGGTCCCTACACTGATAAAATCATAGGTTCAGTCCCTATCACTGTGCGCCAAGCACTATGCTAGGAGCTGGGAATATTAAGACAGGAAATTTCTATCCTGATGGGGGAAGATACGTGTGTGTGTGTGTGGGTGTGTGTGTGTGTATGTATATATGTATGTATGTAAATAAGTACAAAACCAATACAAGGTAATTGGGACAAGAGACACTAGCACCAGGACGATTAATAAAGACAGGAGTAAAGAAGGTGGCACTTAAAGGAAACCAGGAATCCCAACTGGGAGAGGTGAGGAGAGAGGGTATTCCATGCATAGGAGACAGTCTGCGCAAAAGCAAAAGAAAGAAAAGCTGGGGAGCAAAGGGCAAGGGAATCTTTTACCTTCAAATTCTTACAACCAAAAGTAGCTGTCCCTCATGCCTGGAATGTTCTCCCTTCTTTGCTCCAACTACCAACCTTCCCTGGTTTCCTTTAATTTTTGTTTTAGTCATTTTTCAGTCACACCTGACTCTTCATGACTGCTTTTTGGGTTTTCCTTGGTAAAGATACTGGCATGGCTTGCCATTTCCTTCTCCAGTTCATTTTACAGATGAGGAAACTGAAGCAAACAGGGTTAAGTGACTTGCCCAGGATCACACAGTTAGTAAGAATCTGAGCTGGGACTTGAACTCATGAACAGAAGTCTTGCTGACTCCAGGCCCAGCACTCTATCCACTGTGCCACCTAGCTTCCCCTGGTTTCTTTCAGTTCCAACTAAAATTACATATCCTACAAGAAGCTTTCCCCCAACACTCCCCTTCCCCTTTTAAGTCCAGTGCCTTCCCTCTGTTAATTATTTCCTGTATATCTTGTATGTAGCTTGCTTTGTATATATTTCTTTGCATGTTATCTCCTCCATTAGATTTTAATCTCCGTAAGGGCAGGGACTTTTTGTCTCTTTTTGAATCCCCAATGTTAAGCACAGTACCTAATACATGTTAGGCACTTAATAAATATTTATGGAATTGAATTGACTACTATCTCCTCTCTGGATTTCAACGATACCTCTCTCTTTCTCTCTCTCTCTCTTTTTCTCTCTCTGTCTCCCCTTCTCCTATCTATCTGACTGCTCTTTCTTAGTCTCTTTTGTGGGATAACTACAATATGCCTTCTAAATGTGGGTATACCCCAAGGTTCTGTCCTGAACCCTCACTACCCTTTCTCTCAGCCCCATCCATGTCAAACCTAATCCCTGAACTCCCTGCCCTTTCTAGTAAGTCCTCTGGAAATTTCTTTCCATAATTAAGAAGTTTTTCATGAGGTGCTTCTAGGACAAGACTAAAGATTAAAGAGAATGATGGGATGATAGTAGGGGAAATCTGCTGGAAAAAAACAGGAGGGATGGGATCATGCATACATGTTGAGGGATTGACCTTGGTAAGGTGAATAGCTAGTTCATTATAAGAGCCTGGAGGAAAGGAGGAGATAAGAAAATGGATGAGGTTGTGTGATGCTGAACTGGTGTCTGGGATGGATAATAAATGGGAATCTATGGAGGAGAGAGACACAGTTTATCAGCTTTCTGCTTAGAGTCCAGAGGTTCCCAAAGTTTTTTGGCCTACTACCCCATTTTCAAAAGAAAATTACTCAGCACCCCTCTGGGGTTAGGTTAACCCTTATTTTTATTCAACACTCCCCAATTGCACCCAAGGCTACTACCAATCCCCCACCCCCAATCATTCCAGCGCCCCCCTCCAGGGGTGGTTATAACCCACTTTGGGAATCTATGACCACCTCCTCAAACAAATATATTCAGTCCTTGGGAATATTTTGTGCAGCTTCCAGGTGAAACCACATCAAATTTTACTATTTTAATTGAATTATCAGTAGTATTTTGATAGGATTAATTAGCCTAATCAAAGGCAAATTTCATAATAGCCTCCTTGCAAAATGATTTTATTTGATCCTCTACTACAAACAAGTCTATTCATATTAACGTCTATCTACCAATATTTTAAATAATCTATTCTGTAGATCCTAATTTTCTGTCTCCCTTTCTCTCACACAACTGAAGATGAACAGGTTTATGAGCATTTAGCAAATTTGCTGATTTGAAAATTGGAATACTTTGCTATAAATGGAACCATGTTCTAATGTAATAATGATATACATCAAGGGGTTCTTAACCTATTTTGTGTCATGGACCTCTTCTCAGAAAAAAAATGTTTTTAAATAATTGAAGGAAATGCTAAATTTTAGTTAGAGATTAATGAAAATAAAGATGTCTTTTTTTTTTCCTGTCCAAGTTCATAAACACCTGAAATTTCTCCATGGATCCCAGGTTAAGAACCCCTGATACATAGAAATGATATAAGCATGGAAACCCATGAAACTAACCTAAGGCAGTGAATATGTATGGGGGAAATAATGCTGACATATAACTACTGCCCGAAATAAAGAATCTGGTTCTTTAATTTAAAGCATTTTATGTGAAGGTACATACCTATTGAGAGCCATAAAGAAGGAATCAACAATCCAGGCTTTCTAACACTACTAGGTATCTCTCATTAAAACTGAAGAATGTTAGCACCTTCTGGATCAACTATTCCAAATCCTTCTGTTGTCAGGAGGAAAGTTGAGAGCATGCTTTATTCAAAGGTCACACAGTTAATTAGTAGAAAACCTGTGATCCCATCCTCCTGACTCTCAATCTAGTGCTCTTCTACTCAGGCTATCCTGTTTTATCATTTCAGTACCTATCACTACTGGTAAAGGAAAATTCAGCTTAACATATATTAATTTTTTTAAAAAAGGTCATTCAACACTATTAGAAGTAGAGACAGTAGGCAATAAAACATCCAAAAGCAAATGAAGGGGAACTGGAACTGGGAATCCTCACAGGAGGGATTTAAAAGTCTCCTGATTAGAAAAGAATTTATGTGTTATTGGGTTATGGAGAGAACCCGTGCAATCCTTCTTAAACTGATGGAAAGGCTGAGGTTCCATGATACCACAGATAAGGAACTGAACTTGATTTCTCAGGGTCTTCTTAGCCCTCTGAATTTCAATTATCTTCTTAGCCCTCTGAATTTCAATTGTACTTACAGTGTGTGTCAGATAGTGCAAATGAAATATTATGAAGCTCTCACCCTCAAAGTGTAAGTCCTTCCTCCAACTCGGTTCCGTGCCTCTAAAACCACAACATCAATTTCATATTCGGCCAACAGTTTGGCAGCAGACAGACCTAAGCGAAAAAGAGAAAGAGATAGAAAGTTATGCTTAATAAAATTCATTTCCTTATAAATATATCTGGATTGCTGAATCAATTCTACAACTACTTGCTAAAAATCTACCATATCCATACACATATCACTATATTCCCACAAAAGGCATGTTCCTATATAAAGAGGTAAAAAGGGTGTCCTTAGAAGTATTCCCTGGTTATTCTGGGCCTTGCTGATCTCGCAGTCTTCTGATATGAGGCTCACAGTGTCTACAGAATCCAATTTAGCATCTACACACATGCTTTCTTATATTATTTGCTAACTGTTTAACATTTATTCATCTTTTTTCTTCAGCTAAGTATGTATTAGGTTCTGTGAAAGTATGGACCATATCTAACAGCCTTTCTTGATTTCCTCAATTCCTAGTTTCTTCCCCCCCAAAACGATCTTTTATTTAACTACAACATGTATGTTTGTACTTCTTTATTTTTATGGTTTAAATATATTTTATATGTATATATTATTTACTCCATTTTAAATGCAAATACATTGCGAAAAGGGAATGTTTCATTCTTGGGACTGATACTCCCAGAGCTTTGCTTAGTAGCTGGCACAAAGTGGGGGCTTAACAGATAGTTGCTGGTTGACTTCTGATTTTTCTTACAGCACCAAAGAAATATTAGGCCACTGACTGCTTGAAAATCCTAATAAAAAAGATGAGATTTTACAGCCAAAAGAATGAGAGACAACACGGTGTATAGAGAGAGAGCTGCTCTTGGGGTCAGGAAAATTTAAGTTAAGTTCTATAGATACCAGCTTTGTGATCACAGGAATGTTCAAGCAACAACTTAATAATTAAAGTTACAAATGATTTATTAATTTGCACCTCATGAAGGGTGTTTCTAAATAAGGAATTTCCTTACAATGATTAAATTATAGGTCTGTCCTACCCTTCAAAAAAGCCTATCAATCCAGGCAACTAGGTGGTACAGTGGGTAGAGCTGTAACTGGAAAGACCTGGGTTCAAATCTAGTCTTGGCACTTACTAGCTGTGTCATGCAGGGTAAGTTAAGAGGCAACTTAACCTCTTCCTGCCTCAATTTCCTCATCTGTAAAATGGGAATAATAGCACATTATAACAGGGTAATTGTGAGGATTAAATGAAATAATATTTGTAAATCATTTTGCACATCTTAAGGCAATATTTAAATGCTAGATACTATTACTATTATGAGAGAGAGAGAGAGAGAGAAACTGAAAAGTAATTGAAGGAGATTAATGAACTTTATGAATCTAGACCAAATAATCTATGGTAGGTTTTACTTTTTGGTGGTTTTTTCTTTGCTTGTTATAAGAGCAACATATTTCCTGCTAATTTTACAGCAGTGACTTGCTTATATATACTACAGGGGTCAAACTCAACTCCTGCAAAACTCCGACTGCTGTGGTCAGAACCACATTAAAATGTAAATTGGGAAATACTTGACAGAACAAATAAAAATACAATATCGACAATGTTAATTTGTGGTTTTTTAAGTCAATATGCCACCATAGGGATCCCTTCTGTTTGAGTTTGACCCCACTGGCCTAGATTGTAAGTCCAGATGATGGACATATCAGTTGTGACTGGACCCATACTCAAAGTTTTTCCAGTTCAGAAGGACCATCCAGAACATGTGAATTGGCTACAGAACCCAGGATCACCTCCACATGATGAGGTGGTACCAGAATAGGATTTTGTATTTTATACCATTCAACTGCATAGAAAAGAGAGGCTTTAATTGCTGGGGGCAAAAAAGCTAATTCAAACTATGGTAGATGTTTGAAAGTCACTTCACAACTCTTTTGGTGGTAGAACACAGGTGTTTTTCATTAGATTCATTTATATGCTGTAGCATATAAAACTCCCTAACAGATTTATTAATGAAGTACATGCCCTGTGCATTATATGTACCATATTTATAAATGGTCTTCAGACTCTTGCCAAATTGTGAGTTTTCTACTTCATGCAGGAGCCCATTTGCATCAGATGTCCTGATGTTTTACACAAGAGGAGCCGAGATGACCCTGCATTAGAGAGACTGATCTCACTTTGTCATAATTTTAAGATAAAGAAAAGAACAAAAAGTTTAAATTATTTTTCCTGGGAAGCAACCCCTGGGAGATGCAGCCTGGCAACTGTTCATACAGGTGCTACAGCCACAGCTACTGAAGATCCAGAAAGAAAGTTCTTGCCCTGAAAGTCTTTGATTTTGTCAAATGGTTCAACAGAAACAACTGATATGATTTTGATCAGCATAAATGACATTAAAGAAGAGGCATCACCATCTATTTTGCCTCTGCACCATAAGGACAACTGGACCTTTCCATCTGACTTGCAGGCAAAATATTCCATACGTGTTATCCTTGACAGTAGGGATGTTTTAGTTTTCTATTTGTATCCCCAATATTTAACAAAAGGATTTGCAGATAGTAAGTGCTTAATCAATGCTTCATTCATTCATTCTGTTAGAGCAAGGGTCTTCAAACTACAGCGTGAGGCCAAATCCCATCTGCTGCCTGCTTTTATATGGCCTGCAAGCTATGGTTTTTACATCTTTAAATAAAGCTGTATATTTAAAAATGTAAAAGACATTCCTAGCCAGGAGGCCATATATACACAAATAGGCAATGGGTGGTATCTGGTCCTCAGGCCATGGTTTACCCACCTTAAATTAGAGGAAAAAGGTCACTGAACACATATAGTTGCTACTCTTTACGATCTCCCACACAATGCTTAACATTAAATTTTTAGTGAGCTTGAGGAGCTGGTTTCCCAGAAGCAACAACTGGAAGTGGGGTGAGAGTCAGAGCCATGCAGACACAAGCTATATGACCTCCACTAAAGTGGAAACAGATGACCTGACATAAAAGGAAGTTAAGGGAGAAAGAATTTACAGCTGGAAATCTAGTCCAACCCCTTTATTTTATAAATGAAGAAACTGAGGTCCAGAAAGGTTAAGACTTTTCAATGTCATATGACTTAAGATGGTAGAAAAAAGAGTACCTCAAAACTCTATACATGCTGTCTATTATAATAGATGTGCTTAACGACATTCTAAACAATCAATAAATGTTGAGCTATGTTCTTTGTCTTCTGCTTAGAAAGGCAGAGAAGTATATATTTTTGAAAGATTTCAATCAAAACAATTTTTGAAAAAAAAATTGATGCTTAAGGTTTAGTTATGTGGAAAAACACATTTATGTAAACATGAAACATTACCCTATCATATTTTTAAAATCATCTTTCCAATAGAGCAAATTCCCTAAAATGTATCATTTTTTTTTGTTTAATGGAACCATGATTTCACAGCTGTTTTCAGTGAGGAAACTCCTTCTACAAAGCAAATTGTCAACTGCTCTTCAATTTGTAGTCTTAGACAGTTTCGGGTATTCCAAAAATTGAAAATGGGTTATAGGCAACTAAAAAAATTTTGGTCCCAGAAATGCATTGCTAATGTAAGAGCAAATATTGAAGATACTTGTAGTACATATAGCTACATCTATAACTTCCTGTTGTTTAATCATTTTTCAGTCATGTCTAACTTTTTGTGACCCCTTTTGGGGTTTTCTTGACTTAGGTACTGGAGTGATTTGCCATTTCCTTCTCCAGCTCATTTTACAAATGAAGGAACTAAGGCAAACAGGGTTAAGTGACTTTTCCAGGGTTACACAGCTAGCAAATGTCTGAAGCTGGATTTGAACTCAAGTCTCCAGATTCTGGGCCCCTTGCTGTATCCACTGTGCCATCTAGCTCCCCAGCTAACTTCGGGGCTCCCTAAATCTTATTTCTTAATTATAAGCCAAATTTTATAGAACACCAGAGAATAGCCTAGAATAAATAGGTTGGAGAAAAAAACTCAAAGTAACATAAGTCAACAAGCATTTATTAAGTACCTACTATTTACCAGGTACTGTGCAAATAACTGGGAATACAAGAAAGGCAAAAATAGTACCTGCTTGACTTCAAGGAGCTCACAGTCTAATGCGAGAGACAACTATGTACAAACAAGATGTATACAAGAGGAACTAGGGTAAATCTTAGAGGGAAGGCATTAAGATTAAGGAAGACTGGGAAAGACTTCTTTCAGAAGGTGAGACTTTAGCTGAGATTTGAAGGGACCTGGGGAAGTCAAGAGGCAGAAATGAGGAGGGAGTGAATACTAGGCATGAGGGACAGCCCAGTAAAAATGCAGTCAGGAGATGGAGTGTCCTGTGTGAGGAACAACAAGGCAGCCAATATCACTAGATCCTAAGAATGCAAGGAGAGAAAAAAGGTCTAACAAGGCCTTTTTGGCTTTTTATAACTTTTCGTTAAGAGAGGGCCAACTAATGAATGGATTTAAAAGCCAAATGGAGGATTTTATATTTGATTCTGGAGGTAACACGAAGCCACTGGAGTTTACTGAACAGTTGGTGACATAGTGAGACCTATGTTTTAGGAAGATCAAGTTGACATCTGAGTAAAGGTTGGACTAAAAAGAAAGAAGATTGGAGGCAGAGAGATCAACCGAAAGGCTATTAGAATAATCTAGGAATAAGGTGAAGAGACTGATCCAGTATCAAGAGGACAGAACGGGGTGTATAGCAGAGATGCTGCAAGGTGGAATCAACACGATGTGGCAATTGATCAGAAATGTGGAATGGGAGAGTGAGGACCTGAGTTTGATACCTAGTTGGTGAGCCTCAACAACAGTGAAGTTAAGGAGAGGGATTTGGGAAGAAAGATAACAAGTTCCGTTTTGTACATATCAAATAAATTTGTGCTATCTATGTATGGGACATCCAATTTAAGATGTTGACTGGATAGTTGGAGACACCAGACAGGTCCAGAGAGAGGTTGGGGCTGAACAAATACAGCAGAGGTTTATTTGCATAGAGGTGACAATGTAACCCAAGGAAACTGATGAAATCGCCAAGTGAAATCCAGAGCACCTCAAAAGTCTTAGGGTACTAAAATTGCACTAAGGGATGACCTGTA